TAATTTTATTTAAGTATAGTTATATTGCAAATATGATGTATTACAATAAAATTATAAAGTTGAAAAGAGAGAAAGGGGAAGAGGGGAACTGGTCTGTTTGGATAAACCCAGACAGACTACAGTTAAATGACTCCTGAAGAAGAGATTATAAGTATAAGAGATATGAAAGCTGGATCCAAAGCTTTCCTTCAATCTTCAAGGTGACTGATTGAAGAGTGATGTGTAGAATCACTACGCTGGTTGTTATAAAGTCACCAACTTATGGTTATTCAAAAGGTACACCAACCTTGAGTTGATATAGGTCACTAACCTGCAGTTGTTCAGAAGGTACACTAACCTGTGAGTTGATATAGGTCACTAACCTGCAGTTGTTCTAGAGGTAACTAACCTGACGTTTATTGGAAGGTCACTAACCTGATAAGGGGGTTCTACTTAGGGGAAGTAGGGATCCAGAGGATGAAGAATAAGATTACTTTATCTTTTAGTCAGGAAGCTACTTTAAAGAGATGAAGTGAATCACTAGTCTTATATTTATAAGACTTTTGATTATGTACTTCAAAAGAGTCTTTAAAGGGTTCTTTAAAAGAGGTGTGTAAAAAATGCTTGAGGGAAAATCCTTGAAGGCTGAGAGAGGAGGGGTTTATATATCCTCCTCTCCAAACCTAATTGTAATGATATTTGATTGTATCATCACTGTGGTTTAGGGTTTAATAATTACTATTAATTATTATTATTATTAATATAACATAATTACATATATGTGTTATGTATTTTATGTAGTATAAGCATTTTAACTCTTGACACTGAGTTATGAGGTGTAATTGGTATTTTATTACATGTTACATATGTTTTTAAGTGTATATACATATGTAATTGATGTTTGTATATGTTTTATTACATGTTACATGTGTTTTATAAGCTGTATGTACATGTAATAAGGTTTATAAGTAAAAGTACAATATTATAAGTTAGTTTTGGGTACATGTATATGTACCCAGGGCTGACAAGTAATGTCAATTATCAGCAAATATTAAAAAAAGAATGACACGAAGAAGAAGATTGTATAGGAAATGCGAAAAAGGAATTCTTACTTTGAGTTCCTCAAACACAGAAGACCGCATTTCCATATAAGCCTTGTGAGCAAACTTGGCAACCCACGTTCGGCCAAATAGTTGGGCATTGGGGTTGGCATACCGGAAGGCAGCCCGTAGGTAAGCGTCTTCGATTTGACGCCATGGTTGAGCAGTCCTAATGACCCACATACCCAACATTTGATTCAGGGTCTTGTTGTCGAACTTGGGAATCGAGTGTGTGTAAGCTGTGATTGATGTTTGTCCGGCTGGAGGCTTAGACTCCTGCGCTCTCTTTTGGGCAATGGTGAGCAGGAGGATGCATCCGGCCTCGATGGCATCATCTCTCTTGCCGCATCCAGGTCGACCAGTCTTGGAATCCTGCTTGGAGCCGTCGCAATGGGCCCAGAGGCTTAATGTTCCACTGACACTACGAACATCTTTCCCACAATGTTTGCAAGGAAAGGTACCACGGACACCCGGTTTCTAAAAAAATCGAGCCAGAGACATGAGATATGGCAGGTTAAATTAAAGAAGTTATATAAACTTACGTCTTTGGGACCCACATATGCAGGTTTGAAATATCCCTTGATAGGATCATATCGATCATCATCTTCCTCATCTTCTTCTTCTTGTTGTTTACCTGCAACCTTGCTGTTCTCCTCATCCGAGTCTTGCAGGAGGTTGACTTGGAGTTTCACAGAGGCTTGACTAGTTAACGGATTTGTTGACAATTTGGTTTTTGAGACGTCTGCCTTGGTTTTTGAGGGTTTGGATTTGATTTTCTTCTTATCAGGCTTCTGGGAAATTTTCTTACAGGTGACGACCGGTTGATCTTCTTCAGCACTTTCTTCTTCTTCAGTTGGAGATCGCTTTCTGCGTTTGGTAGACGGAGGATGATATGAGGCGACGGAGGCTTCCGAATCAGACTGCTCATCATCATCACGATTGCGGCGTTTGATTGAGCGGCGAGAGTCCGAAGGAGTGGGGACCATCAAATACGAATTTCGGGCAGGTGAAGGTCGACTGCTTCGTTGATTGGCTTGGCTTGCAGAGGAGGTTGACATATTGGTGGATATCAAGGAATTGATTTGGAGGTCAACTAAGAAAATGGGTCGAAAGAAGTTGGATTTGGATTTGGAGGAATCGAATTGAATGAGGTCAAGTAAGAGAAAGAAGACGGGTCGAAGGAAGTTGGATCTGGAGGACTCAAATTGAACGAGGTTAAGTAGATATAGGGAGAGCAGGAAGACAGTTTGAAACAAGTTAAGTTGATGTGAATATAGTGATAGGACTCTGTAAATGCCGAGATGATAATTGAAAAAGTGAAGATGGATAAAAGTGTTAGAATTATTGGCAAGGATTACGAAAGGGACCAAATGAAAGACAGGTAAAAATAGAATGACGACGTACAGCTCGGAAACGACAGCAAGGGGCTGCAGATATAGCAATTCCACCAACTCAGCCGCGCGACAAGGGGCCATGTTGGAGGTAGTCAGATCTAGATTGCCACAATTCATCATGTGTCAGTGCGCAAATGGACCCAAAAATGATGAAGAGGGTGAAAAAACTTACTCTTATGACCAGATTGGGAGTGTATCGATGGCATTGAATGTGTTGTTATGACTGGATGAGGGTGTTCCATGGGTAGTTTGATGGCATTGGCGGTGTATAGCTGGAATGTGACCGGAATGGGGAGGAGGAGGGTGGAGGGTTACTATTAGTATTAGTATTACAAAGGGTGGAGGGCCCTGCTACTCTGTACTGTACAAAACAAGGTACGGTACGGTACAGTAACTGGAAAACCGGGTACTGCCGCAACCCAGTACCTAGTACCGCACCCGGCCTTCCGGTACCATACCTGATACCGTACCTAAAAAAAAAAATGCCTTCTTGGCTGCTCCAGTACCGTAGTCAACACCCAGGTACGGTACTTCCGGCACGGTACCACACAATGCAGATACGGTACGGTACAATACCGGTATCAGTGTGGTATCTGTGGCTGCGTTGCTGATACATTGGGTACATTGGTGATGAAATTAGGAGCAGTTGTTTCTTCTTCTTCTTCCTTGATAATAGTGATGTTGAATTCTGGAAATTGACCTTGCATGGCAGTTTTGACTTTTGAAACCCATAATATATATATTTAAAAAAAGTCAATCAGAAAAAGCCCATCTAGAAGATCATTTTCTTCTAATCTATTGATAAAAATAGAATAACATAACATAACCCAACCAAAATTGGAAAAGAAAAAGGATAGAAAACCGAATTGGTTTTGCAAAAGAAAGAATTGATATGATTTGTGTATGTTATTTAGGCCCCGTTTGGTATGGCTTACAAAAGCGGGGCAAAATGCATTATTTTTTGAAAATAATCTATTTTTCACATTTTCAAAAAATCACGTTTGTTATCACTTTTGCCTCTTTTTTAAGAATGTATTTCACAGCCAATAATCTATTATTTTGAAAGCTGCTCAGAGCATCCACAGTGGTGGGCTCCAAATCGGGGCTCCAAATCGAGCGAATTCAAATTTGGTGGGGCCCCAAATCAATCCGGATGCAGTCGTTCGGACTTCAAAAGTGTAGATTCTATGTGTTTACACACACTTTGATATTGGTGCACGTGGGCTTACATGTGTGAGGTATGGGATTGAGCAAGTGCGGGAATTTGGAGCCCGGCTTTTTGTTGCCAAATTTGTAGCCCAAAGCTCGAAATTTGAAGCCGGCTACAAAAAAATTTGGCGATGGGGACTGCCATTGCACCAAAAAATCGGGGCTCAGTCACCAAATTTGGCGATAGCCCCGATTTGGAGCCCACCACTGTGGATGCTCTCAAGAGCAGCTTTCAAAATACAATAACACATTTCAAACCCAGTGCACGTCTTTGAACTCGACCCTTGGCAGGATCAAGACAACCTTTCTCTTCAAATCTTGCCAAGTACAAACTTTTCTCTACCTTCAACCTCAACCTCGCACCTCACCTATCAATTTCATCTTCTCTGATCCCAACATTTTCTTTATTCTTCAATCTCTAGACTTTGTACTCTCGACTCTGGAACTCATCTCGTCACTGTTCATTAATCGACATCATGTCTACGGATGGTCAAGATATCGCAGTAAATCAATTTCCTTCTTGTACATGATAAATTTGACTATCTTTCTTCTTCTTAGTTGGAGTCACATCCGTATCCTTATTGGGTGATTAGTAGCTAAATTATAAAATGTATCTAGCGGTCAGGCACACTTTGGGAATGGTTGTAGTGAGTTCTTGTTAAAAAGCCTAGTTGAAATATGTTCCAGGAAGCATGGATCTGCTGATTGATTCCGAATTGTCGGAATCGGTCAGATCGGACATCACAATGATCTTGAATTTTGAAAGATGGTGAATGGTACGTACCAAATGCCATCGATCAATTTTGACTTTGAAAAGCCGCTTCTTGCGGTTTACAAATTTTGAAACACAAAATCAAAAAATAATAGGTTTTGCAATTGCATAATCTATTAATTGGTAATGTATTTATAAAAGCTGAAAGCCATACCAAACAGGGACTTAATTACCAAAAAGAAGAAAATCAAAACTCTAAAATACATCCCACAACCACTACCAGCATAAAGTAATTTTCTCAAGTAAAAAATGAATACATTTAGAGCAAAAAATGATTAAAAATGCATTTGATCAGCATTAAATCAGCATTAAATCAGCATTATTCAGCATTAAATGAGCATTTTTGACTAAAAATGCATTAAATGTAATCATTTTTTCCTTGGGAAAATTACCTTTTGCTGGGAGTGAACATAATCCAAAAATCAACAAATCAAAAACCAATACCAAAAAAATGAAAAAACTCATCAAATCAATTAAACAGTAGCTGTAATCTATAAATCCCCCAGAGAAAAGAAAAACCAAATCATTAATAATTGATCTCTTCACTTAAAAACAAAACCAAAAACCACAAACCTCATTAGCTTTTTCTAAAGCCAAAATCATCTTAACACATTCTTTTCTTCTATTCACAACCATTTCACTTTCTTTTATTAAATCATCCAAAACATCAGGTCTATAAAGTTCTATAACATAAAGAAACACCTTTCCATTAATTTTTAAAAAAATTAAAGTTAAGAAATAAAAAGAGAATGAGAAATCAATCTTACCTGATAATAATTCTCGTTGTAGATCATCTTTTGAATGTGAAACTAATTTAAGCATAATCACTTTAGGTACCATATCAATCACCGTACGTTTAACAATATTAAAATACGATGAAATCAATACTAATCCAAAAGACCCAAAAGAACCAAACATTAGTTTCTACCTTTCCTTAAGAAAAGAAACTTAAAAGAAATCACTTACATTTAATCGCATCAGTTTCAATCACTTCACGTTCCGATAAAACACCCGAAGCCTTAAGAACCTGAGGAGGAGATTCAAGTTGACCCATCATACCACCTTTTTTCCTAGGTCCAGGCAACACCCGACGTCAGCGCAGTACAGCGCAGAATGCGCGAAACTGCGCTGCGCCAAAAAAATCGAAAATTCCAAAACCCACTGCGCTGCGCTAGAGCGCAGTGACCCAAAATCTTTGAGGCCCCTGCGGTGCGCTCCAGCGCAGGTAAGTCCAGCGCAGCGCAGTGGGCAAAAAAATTGTTTTTCTGGCGGATGGAAAGCCCATTTTTTCAATTTTCCATTGGAGAAGTGACACATCCACTGCGCTGCAAAAAGGCGCAGTGGCGAAAAGTCGAAAAGCCCCTGCGCTGTGAAAAGGCGCAGTCGCCATATTTTCAAAAACCCCAGCGCTGTGCCACAGCGCAGGCGCAGGCTGTGCCTCGCAGTCTGCGCTGCGAGTCGGGTGTTGGTCCAGGTTCTTAACCACCTTTCCAAAAACTACCAAAAAAACCTGGATCATTATTTTTAGAATCTACATCTAAATCTCTTTCATTATTAATCGCTCCTGGTGGTAATTTTCCACTTTTATCTAATTGAACTGGTCCAGTTGATGGTGGTGGTTTATATGCTTCTATTTTTGCATTCACTAAGGCCATTGCTTTATGTCCACTTATGAAATCTGGATGTCCTGTGTTAATATAAACTGCTTCGGCTGCTACTAAATCTGATACTAATTTATTGGTGGGTAACATGGCTTTTTTATAAAACGCTACTACTACTGAATAAAACCTTTCTTTCAAAGCGGGGTATCGTTTAAACCCTTGCTATAGATTTCAGAGAAAAAACACACACGAAAAACAATTAGTCTTAGAGTTGGTTGGGTAAAACAAATAATATGGAATCGATCTTTACGTTTTTATTTAATACTTGGGTCAAGATTCGAATTAATTCATCATAAATCAATGCAGAACATTTCAATGAAGGTTCTTCTAATCGTTTAATCTGTTGTTTCACAATCACTTCAAAAGCCGTTGTACCCACAAACAAAGCCGGTGAAGAACCCTACCCCCAAACCCATCATCACATTAGCATTTTTGTTCCCTCAATCATAGTGTAAAATAATAAAAATTCAACTTACAGAAGAATTATAAAGGATCGTTCGAATATCACCATCTTTAACTTGATCATAAGGATCAAGAGATTCAACCCCATTACTAAACAATTCATGAAACACAAAAGCGATTCTAGCACCACCACTTAATTCATTTGTACTTGAATCATTTGAATTTCCATCTATTACTGTTCCAAAATCAGCACAAAATTCTGTAATGATTGATAAAACTACATTTGATGAATTCGGTTCTCCAAATTGGCCTCCTAAAGCTGTTAATTCGGTTTGATATTTGATTAAGGATTGTCCTATTTTGTTTTTAATTTCGGGTAATGTATTACGAATGTGATGCATTAAGATCTATAAAGAAAACACATAAATTCAAAGTTAGTGAGTTACACTTTCCACATTGGATTAGATCATTTCAAGAAGATTAAAGATTGAATGGACTCACCATATTAGGTTTCTTTGCCAAGAAAGGTGTACCACAATATTGACTCTTAGAACGATAAGAAGCATGATTCTCAAAGAAATCCTTCTCATGATCCAAAGCAGCAGTAATCTTTTTCTTTTGATCAATATCTCTTTGACCACAATTGTTCGAGATGTTGGAGCTGGTCGGGAACTTTCTGGCGCTGCCGATGTTCCAGCTACTGGTGCTGGTTCGATAGGCACCACGCCAGATGTAGGGAGTTTCCGGATCACTTTTTTTGCAGGATCGTTCTTACCGATTGCGGTTGAGCTCTTCTTCTTCTTCTTTTTGATCGGATTAACACTGGTACTGCTTTCTATGGGTACTGGATCAGGTTGAGTAACAGCAGCTGTAAGAAGCTCTGCATCCGTCAAAGGTTGTAGCTTCACAGGTCGAGATCGAGACATCAGACCATCCAGAATTTCATTCGTCTTGGGTCGAAGTGCTTTGACTTTGATCGATGTAGGTGGAAGATCAGATGTGTAAGAGCTCAAGTCACTTTCATGACCTGTACCGGCTGGTAGAGCTTCGGATTGTTCAGATGGATGCGGGAGGGGTGGGGCTGAGACGGTCGGAGCTTTAGTATTCAAGGTAGACTTGCGCTTTTTCACCACACGGTTCACTGGATCTTTAGTTCTAGATTGTTTGGAGGGATTCGAAGTCGTGTTGACAGGTGCAGGTGGTGGGGGTGGTGCTGAAGGAACTGATGAGAGACTATCATCTGAGGAAGCGAGTTGGTCCATAACTGAATTCAAATTCGCTTCCCACCAAGTTAGATCCGAAATAAGCTGTTGATACCAAGAGCGAGTTCCATGGTAAGAGAATACAAGCACCGAGAATAAAGAAGCAAAGGTAGCTTAATATCTTCTGGAATTGGCTGATATCTTTGCGCGGATTAAAAGCAGTTAAAGGTTCATGTTCAGATGGTTGATCTGTAGGTTCCAGTTCAGTTTCTTCTTCGTCAATAGTCAAGATCGTTAATGAAACTTAGAATGTGATGAAGTCGATGTAGATTCGGTTTTAATTTCGGGATCTCAAGTGTCCTCTTTACCAAAAGGTTGTTGACTCCACAGTTATATAAATCGAGGTGGCTTGAGCACTTGGTTGGTTAGTTGAAAGTGTTGGTGATAAGGTTTTGACTGGATAGGGCAATGGAAGGCTGAGCTTCCTATGAATTGTAAGCTTGGGCTAAATCCATTCATCTCGAAAGAAATTATCAAAGTATAGTGATCCTGATCAACAAAGTGGGCTTGTGCCACTCACACTGGGCCCGTTGTTGCCCCTCCAGAATGTGGTCTACACGCAAGTTAAGAAGCTCTTGCGGTTCGAAGGACTCCAATGGCAGATGGTGTGGCCCAGTTACATCAAGAAAGTTGTATTCATAAAGCATAATTGGGTTTTTAGTGTTCATAACTAAAATCCACATGTGTTCATGAGAGTAAGAAGTGAGCTATAAAGAGATATGGTACAAGAGAGACATATGTGGAAAAAGGAAAAAATAAGCCACACTTTTTAAAGTTGAACATAAACACAACGCTTTGAATTTGGGTCACCAAGTGGATGGTCAACATGAACGGGCTGTCAACGAGATACACAGAAGAATAAGTGAGTGATTCGACTCAAGCCAAGCATCTAGAATTTTGGCAAGAAACCCCATCGATTGCTTGAGTTGTGAGAAATTGGTTTTCGCACTAGTCTGAATCATGGGAACTAGGAGATCCTCAGAGAGCCTTGTTCGTCGTGTGATCTACCAGTTTCCGGCACGGCAATGCTCACACCCTGAAAATAAATATGATGTTCAGTAAAGTCAACTTTTGATTGAGAGGGAGGTACCACTGACTCAAGGCCAGCAAAAAATCAGGACTATAGTTTGGGCAAACGTATTTTTTATCTCCCGGGTTGGTACAGCCTAGACATCACCAATTCAATGGAAGATTGTAAGACATTTTATCAGGGACGTAAGATTCAAGATTATGGAATCTGACTATAACCCTTAGCCTTCGATCCCAAGTAATTATACTGCGAGCATTGTTGATTGCTGAAATCCTTGTTCGGAGATTTGTCGAGTTGGCACCGAGTAAAAGGAATCCATTGATGATCTGAAGCGAGTAATACAAACAAGCCCCCGCTTGTGATCAGGTTATGATAAAACATATCAAAGGTAATCAAGATTGGGTTGTAAGAGGCTTACAATCATTCCAGCAATCTTCTTTGCTGCAGTGGTAATGCTTTTCTACCCCGTTAATAATCGACCTGCATTCTTTTGATGTTGGGGGATGCAAATAGAATTTGCATTAACAGTGGTCGTCACTTGTTCGGGAGTCATCAGGATGAGGACAAAAATTGATCCAATACATACCTACATTGTAAAGCCCACCTGAGTAATACGAAACCCCTCCGTTACAGTCGACCGTATATAATGGCTTTTCGGCATTCAGGCCATGCATCCCCAAGGAATGTAATAGAAAGGCGATCTTGATGAAGATACGAAGCATGTTGAGTACAGCAAAAGGCGAAGAAGAATGTTGAACAAGATGATATAATTTGTGAGAGGGTGTAATGCGTGAAAATGTACACAACAGAAGACTCAGTCTATTTATGTGATCTGTTGAGGCCCTAGACAAAGCGACTTCAGGCTAGGCTTGCATAGGGTGATTTCCTCCGCCTTGAGGTTGCACCACTCGCGAGAAGCTGGTATTTTTTTTAATAGGGTCTACACTACAATCCAAACTTTAAGGGCCCTTGTGCTTGAGGTTGCACCACTCGCGAGAAGCTGGTATTTTTTTCAATAGGGTCTAAACTACAGTCCAAACTTTAAGGGCCCTTGTGTTCTCAGAACAACCGTAGTCTCTCTCGGCAGATACACAAAACAAAATGTTTGCACTGGGCTTTGTAAGAATGAGGATGGAGGCAGATAACAAAGTCTCTCTGAGCCCGTTCGCCCTCGCCACACCAGTGTTGTTTGCAAGCACTGAAAAAGATGCGCACCAGTTCGCTCCTCTTGATTTGAGATGTACCGGCAAACTAAAATGAATACTCAAAATGATAGGGACTTGTCAAGTTCAACATTAGTTGCTTCTTCGCTACCCCGAGGAATGCTCACCAACCTCAAGTCCGATCTCCCGGAGCTGGGTAATGTTACGTTGAACTTTGTCGTGGTCAGATCTGTTACATACTCAGTCAATGTTCTAGAAATGCATCTCATATAAAGTTACAAACAGTTAGAAGACATTTCAAAAGCCATTGCAAATCATTGCGATTGTGCGTAACACAACAGACCAGTGTACGATGATCTTTTAACGTACGGTTCTGACAGAGTTTACAGAAACTCTTAGTGTTTTGTCTCCGATTGAGTCGCCAGCTCTGCTAGGATTTGTTTGTCATTTCTAATGGGGGTGTATCAAGCTCATCCTCTATACGTTTCATGTCGTTTTTCTGATTCTTATTGTCCCAAAATTTGAATCTCTTGATTTGTCTTGTGATTCATTTGTATACTTCATGCAAGTCGAGCTGTAGATAAAACCCACTCAGCGAGCACTTTCCTCGCGAGCGCGGCGAACGCGCTTACATGAGGTGCAACAGGATGCAAGTGCTATTGACTTCAGTGCCAGTTGCGGGCGAGAAAGTCTATGAGGTTATCTGATTGAATTTGGGTCTCGATAAACCTCCAGAGTGTGGTCTACACCCTAGTCGTCTCTGGCGGTTCAAAAGACCTCGAACCAGCATCGAGTCCTGATACTAACAACTTTGAATTTGGGCGATAAAGTGGATGATCAACATGAAAGGGCTTGCAACAAGAGACACATCAAGGTTTGAAAAGTGGGCAGTTCGAGTCGACCCAAGCATCTAGCATTCGGCTGAGAAGCCCCATTGATCGCGTGAGTTGTGAAGAGTTTGCTTTTGCACTATGTTTAGGTTACTGGGAGATTCCCAAAAAGGCTCGTGTGTCGTGTGATCTACCAGTGTCCCGCACGGCAATAGTCGCATGCTGAAAGGAGAGATACTCTTTAGTAAAGTCAAGTCTTGATTGGGGAGGAAATACCACTGACTCAAGTACTTCACATCCTTAGGAAGATAGTCTGGGCAAACATATTTATAACCTCTGGGGTTTGTACAATCTATACATCACCAATTCATATGGAGAAGATGAAGCTTGAATGAGACATCTAATTATCAGGGCCGTATAATTCAAGGTTATGAAAACTGACTATAACCATTATTGCCTCCCAAGTAGTTATATTGTGAGCATTGTTGATCGCTGAAATCCTTGTTCAGAGAGCCGGCGAGTCAGCAATGACGAAAAGGAGCCCATTGATGATCTAACATGAGTGATAGAAAGAGATGCCCGCTTATACTCAGATTTATGATGAGATATATCAAAGGTAATCAAGATTGGGTTGTAGAAGGCTTACTATAATACCAGCAATTTTCGCTTTTGCAGTTGTAATGTTTCTCTCCATCCTTATTCATACACCTACATGCTTTCACTGCAAAAATAATGTATTTTTCAAGGTGAAAAATGATTGACATTAATGCACAAAATGATTAATAATGCAGAGTTAATGCAGAAAAATGCAGAATTAATGCAGAATTAATGCATTTTTAATCATTTTGTGAAATAAATGTAATCATTAGTGGCTCTCAAACCTGCCCCGGTTTTCAAAAAACCCAGTTGACCCAGTTGTTTTTTGGCAGTAACTTTGTGTATCAAGTTGACATTTGTTGACAGCTCCCAGCCAAAAATTCAACTGGGGCAACCGGGTTTTTTGAAACTGGGTCAGGTTTGAGAGCCACTATTTTTCACCTGGGAAAAATACATTATATTTGCAGTGTTTTGATGTGGAGAATTGGAAATCAACTTTGCATCAGCAGTGGTCGTCACTTGTTCTGGAGTCATGGATGAGGACAGAGATTGAATCAAATACATACCCACATTGTATTTACCGCCTGAGTAAAATGAAACTTCACCGTTACAGTCGACCGTATAGAGTGGCTTGTTGGCATTCAGGCCATGCATCCCCAAAGAATATAATAGGAAGGTGATCTTAAGGAAGATATGGAGCATGTTGGGTACAGCAAAAGGCGAAGAAGAACGTCAAGTAAGATATTCCAACTTGTGAAAGTGAATAAGTGTAATTTGGGTGAAAGTTTGCCCAAGCGAAGTCTAGTTACATTTGCTGGCTCAGAGCGGCTCCCGCTCGACGCCTCGGCGCCGCCAGGCGAGAGAATCCATTGAGCCTACCTCTTGCAGTGCAATGTTATGTAGAACTGCAGGAGTCAATTAGAGTCCGTTCGGCTGCCTTCGACCTTGCAGGCGTAGACTTGCAAGGCGTCTACCTGCGGATCCGCAGGTAGACCATGTCTGCCACAAAGCGTGTACCAGGGTTTGGTGCATTCAGTACACTCGACTTGAAGTGTAGTTGACCTCGCAACTTATGGGTTTTCTCCCTTTACAAAATCCGATGTTGCGCTCCTGGTTTCAGGTCTATGGGACACATTTTGACATTGACTGCCTTGAGTCAGACCCCACAGGCGCCCCGCAGACAGTCAACTCTGACCCGCGGTGTAGAACTATACGGGTACCGTCGTCCCTTTGGGCACCCGTTCATTCTCTTCAGCAACCCCCGACGCGCACCACAGTTAACTGCGCAAAAATAGGGGCTGCGCTGGTCATCAGCGCACCAAAAATTGCAAAAATTACCCCTGCGGCACCTCACACCGCATGCGCTCAGGTGTTTCTTACCCCCTGCGCGATTTCACAGTGCAGCACTGCGCAGTGTGCACAGGCTGCGCGGCCCTGCATCGGCTGGCTGGCCTGGCTGAGCCCGCGTGTTTATACCCTGCCTCCACTTCCAAAACAATCCCCCTCGCAGATAAACCCTTCATTCATGATCGACAACTGGCACTACAAAGTATTTTGGGTCAAACCTCGACCTCGATTCCAAGCGCCCTTGGCAAATAAATTCCTAATCTTGCTATATGACGGCATGAGGCATCCTGAGCCGATGTCACCGCCAGCAATTACCTTGTGCTTACTCCTGGTTCAGTTTCCAAGAACTATGGCCAATTGGACTACATCAATGGATTCATCATGGACGGTGACCTATCAAGCATTATATAACTCCACCATCATTCTCAAATCACCTCAGGCTTCAGATTATCCTAGATCAATCGTACTAGCAGTATCCTTAGTATCCTTCAGATTCCACCAATCATATTATAAATCATTCGATCAGTATCTCATTAACACTTTTATCATTCAGTCTTTTTATTATCACTATTATCAATCAGTCTGTGATTATCTTCACTCTTATCATTCTGTCTTATTTTATTATCATTCAGTAATTTTTTATTATAACTCAGTCTCTATAATTCATATGGCAAAATCCAAGAATTGCACCCTTGACTTCAAATTGTCATCCAAGTATAAGCCTTCCCAAAAGCCCTCTCAGTCCACTTCCACTTTAAAATCCCGTCAAGCTATACAAACTGTTATATTAGATTCCAAGGAAGAGAATCCAAAATCCGACGAAGAGAATTCAAAGGAAGATGATCCCGACTTTATCTCTGTGCATGAAGGAAGTGAAGTTGAGAAAGACAAATCGCCCGATAACTCATTCAATAGTACTGTCAATGTTACAAAAGGGAAACGTGATCAAAAAGGAAAGGTACCATCAAGTAAGGTTAAGAATTCAACCAAACGCAAGAAATCTAATAAGGTGAATTAAATTTATGCTTTTCCTTTGAGTCCAAATCTTCAATTGGTAACTTTTGTTGCTCCTTTTCGTTTGTGTTGTGTCTGTATTGCAGAATTACAAACTACCCCAGAACATCAACCCCGATCAAGACTCAGACATTGAAGAAGTCCCTAACCCTGATGAAGAACTTGAAGTTTTCGATCCAATCAAGCTATACTTCTCGGATGTGGCGGTTACGGGGCCAGATCAGGTATTCACTTTTATTTTAGTTATTTATCATTTCAATTTGTGGCGTGTAGCTGATCCAATCAATGTGTCATTTTCATCTTGACCTTATAGGAACCGGGTGAAAAACCCATGTATGGTGATTGCTTGTACTGCGACAAGCAGTACAAGTTTGGTCCCAAAGGCAACTAGAATCTCAAAGGCCACCGCGATGGCGACACTGGTCGGGGAGCATGTGCGGGACGTCAAGATGCGATTGCTGCCGGTGCAAACCTTCCTCCAACGTGGAAAGCTAGACAAGCTGCGAAATTGGCCGCAGAAAATGCTAACAAGTTCAAAAATGAGAAGGCGTCTCTCGAGAATTTTCTAAACTTACCGAAATTCTCTGTTGGTCTATTAAACATGATTCTTGTCCTATGGATCATTTGGAATTGTATCCCCTGGCTTCGTATGGAAGACCCCTCCCTTCAAGCAGTGTTTATGTTGTGCAATCCCCAAGCAACTCTTTGGTCGGCTTCATGGTTGGCTCGACAAGCAATGACTTACTTTGAAGAATTTTGTGGAAACCTGGT